AGAACAAAAAACCTGCGTATTCAGCTATGGTCACTTCAGTGATATGAACTCCAGGCGTTCAGTGTTCATAATTAGTCAACTCTACAGTGAAATACAAGTAGTCAAAAGGTGTCTACTAATAGTTGATTGATTGATTGTATGTTGTTTTACGTCCCATTCGAGAATTTTTCACTCATATAGAGACGTCACCATATACCGGTGAAGGGCTTCAAATTTTGAACTTTACTCGGCACTCAGGGCCATTGAGCAGTGAGGGATCTTTATCGTGCCAAGGCCTGCCGTGACACGGGGCCTCGGTTTTTAAGGTCTCATCCGAAGGACCCGCAACTTTCACTTCAAAGTGCCGAGCGCATGACGAAGGAACGATTGCTACCCATTTTTTATCGACTTAGGTCAGTCGCGGCCGAGATTCGAACTCACGACCTCCCAATCACGGAGAGAGTGCTCTATCGACTGAGCTACCGTGAACGGTGTCTACTAATAGTAATTCAATTCTTAATTCTCTCAAAACCAGATCACAAGTACAAGAGGTACATATATACATATATATAAACAAAAATAACACTCTTGGGTCAAAAAATAGACAAGTGTATAAAAAAAAAGATGTGTTTGTGAAACCCCGTGTGGCAACTTAAGGCGAAGGTTAAAGTTTCTCAAATGAAAGTCAAACTCCAAGGTCAAGAGATCAAATATGTTGTTACCCAAGGAAAGGACTTGTGTCAATGGATATACCTGATAAATATGAAAGCCTAAGCACCAACCATTCAAAAGTTATCGTGGTTAATGTTTTCTAAAATTGGATCAAACTCCAAGGTCAAAGGATCAAAATTATTGGTATTCAGGCGAAAACCTTGTCATAAGAAATACACGTGCAAAATATAAAAAACCCTAGCACCTGCTGTTCAAAAGTTATGGTTAAGGTTCAAAAGTAGGTCAAACTCCAAGGTCAAAAGGTAAAAATTGTTTGTGTCCAAAAAAGGTGTTGTGACAAGGAATATACCTAAGAAATTTGAAATCCCTAGTGCTAACTGTTTAAAAGTTATGTCCAAAATTAAATTTTTTTTAAAAGTGGGCCAAACTCTAAGGTCAAGGTCAAAAGTTCAAAAATATTTATACCCATGGAAAGGTCTTGTCATGATGAGTACACATGTGAAATATGAAAGCCCTAGCACCAACCGTTCTAAAGTTATAGCCAAGGTTAAAGTTGGGTAAATTTTTGCAAAAGTGGGTGAAACTCCAACGTCAAGGTCAAGAGGTCAAATATGTTGGTACCCAAGGAAGGACTTGTCACAAAGAATACACATGTGAAATATAAAAGCCATAGTTCCAACTAATCAAAAGTTATGGGCAATGTTAATGTTTTTGCGGACAAACAGACAGACAGACGGACCGGGCAAAAACAATATACCCCGGAATCTTTGAATACGGGGGCATAAAAAGAAAGAGAATTATACAAAATTAAATGCACAAGTTAAAAGAAATAGAATTGTCTACAGACCTTTTTTTTCTGTTTGCCCAATCGTGACAACGTGCACAAGGCGGTTGTGACCAGTTGACAGGATGCTCACTCTTCCATGGCACCTGATTCCCACCTATTTTTTTCAGAGATGTGTGTTTACTCTTCTCACAATCTGTATTTTTTGCTCCGACTTTTGTGTATGATTACTGTTCATTATCTTCACATTTCATTTTTATGCCATTTGTAAAGGTTTAGATTACAACAGGGGGGACAAGGTGTGTTTGTGAAACACCGATGCTCCCGTATGGCAACTTATAGCGAAAGTTAAACTTTTTCGAATACAAATCAAATATGTTGGTACCCAAAATAAAGCCTTGTCTCGTGTCCTGTGAAAGCCCTGGCAGAATCCATTGAAAAGATATGGAAAAGGTTAAAGTTTTCAAAAGCGAGTCAAACATCAAGATCAAGGTCAAAATTAATGGTGCCCAAGGAAAATACTTCTTACAAGAAATACAGTGTGAAATATGAAAGCCCTAGCGCCAACCATTCAAAAGTTATAACCAAGATTAAAGTTTTTCAAAAGTAGGTCAAACTCCAAGGTCAAGGTAAAAGGGTCAGAGTAACTGGTATCAAAATTAAGGTCTTGCACGGAGACATATGTGAAGTATGAAAGCCCTAGCACCAACTGTTCACAAGTAATGGTCAAAGTTAAAGTTTTCCAAAAGTAGGTCAAACTCCAAGGTCAAAGGGGCTGTAATTGTTGGTATCCAAAGGAAGGTCTTGTCGCAAGGAATACACATGTAAAGTATGAAAGCCCATGCACCAACTATTCAAAAGTAATGGCCAAAGTTAAAGTTTTTCAAAAAGAAGGTCAATCTCCTATGTCAAGGTCAAAGGGTCAAAGTTGTTGGTATCCAAAGGAAGGACTTTTCACAAAGATTACAAATATGAAGTATGAAAGCCCGAGATCCAACTTATGGCAATGTTAAAGTAGGGTAAAATTTTGAAAAACTGGGTCATACTCAAAGGTCAAATATGATGGTACTCAAAGAAATTTTTATCACAAGGAATACACATGTGATTTATGAAAGCAATTACTCCAACAAATCAAAACTTATGGACAAGGCTAAAGTTTTTGCGGACAAACAACAAACAGACTGACAGGGCAAAACCTATTTGCCCCTGAATCTTTGATTACGGGGGCATAAAAAGAAAAGAATGAAATAAACATATAGTCAGTTATACACATGGAAGATTCAAGAAGGACAGACAGTTTTGAAAATTTTCTTAATGAATTTTAACAACGATTTTTGTATTTCTACATTATTTGTGTTTATTAGTTCATAAAACTTGAAAATGTTAGGACTTTTACAATGTTCAAACTGGCCACTCCATGCTCCAGAATTTCCATAAAAAGCTTAATAATGGGATAGTGAAACGATGTCCTTAATGAAGAAGTATCTGTTGTCCTGTGTTTTCCAAAGCGTAAAAAAAATGACGTAAAGAATTTTAATCGGACGAGTTTCCTCAACTTTCCTGTCTAATCTCCCTTAAGGATCTAATCTCTCTTAATGAATGACGTCGACTTCATATCAATTAGTGGGTGTCTTTGATTTCTGTTAATTAGTGCCTTTTCTGGATGGCATTTCCCCCGTTGTGAATTTTACCTTGTTTCTTGACTGAATATGTTTTTCGTTCCTCTGCAATATTTGATTACAATTATCGTCACGAGTATAATCAGTTTGATTAGTAACACAGTGCACTCCTTCCGGTTCCAAAGTCGGTGATCTTACTTCTTACACCGATTTCAAGAAGAGTATTTATCGCTTAAAATATTACTAACGTTTAATTTGTGAGATGATTTAATAACATGTGTTTTGCTGCCAAGTTCAATGAGGGATGTTTATAAACAGAGCTTATTGGAAATTCTCCCTGTTAAACACCAATCCATCTTCAAGATGTCTCAAAAAATTGTGAACGGATTTCAATGAAGAATTGTTAAAGCTTGCAAGTGAATGGTACAGACGCTGGATGTATTTAAATAGGATATTTTAATTTCATATACAGCATTTACAAATATAATCAATAAAAGCAGATGTTTAACTTTCATTACACGCCGGTGACTTTGTGGGATAACAGAGCAGTGCACGCTTGGGTCCTCATTTCTTGTTGAACCTCTACCAAATTCGTGCATAAAGGTAAAATCACACTTTTTGGCCGTATTTGGCCGCTGTATTTTTATGCTTAAAGCATGGAAGCATAAATTATTGGTGCCAAAATTTGTCAATGAATAGTTAGTTAATCCGGCGATAGGTTTGATGCATATTGCAACGTTAACTGTAATTTAATTTCAGACAGATGTCATACTGAGAAATATGGAAAACTTCAAGAGAAAATAAAAGAAGGAAATACCATTTAAAAAAAAAAAGGGGGACAAGATACATTAGGAGGTACTTTTTGTTGATTTTTTGTTTGGAATGAAAGGCATATTAGATAGCAACTTCTTTCACTTACATGTACATTGGGATACTTCTTTCCTTACTGCCCCCTGTCGAAAATATGGCATTGTGTGCACACAAATGAGTTTATAAATATTTATGTTTTAATTTTCTTCTGCCTTTCTAGAGAAGTTTTCAGAAAATGTTAAAACAAGTGTAAGTGTAAGAATTCTTCATTAAGACATTAAATTATATACTCTTGGGCTTTCAAATGTCAAAACAAGTCTCTGACGAGAGAGTAGCTCTACTGGTTTTTCCTTATAACACAGGAAGAGAAAAGTACTTGAACTCGAAACTATGGGAACATCAATAAATAGAATTATTATCATTAGTTTGGTCTGCTTGTTTGTCAAGTTTCTTTTTTTAAAAAGTACTAAAACTGTAGGAGGATACATACCTGAGTTAACCATTTGTGAGAAGGGACGTGTGTGCAGCAGAATGTTGAAATTGGCAATTACATCTTTATTTTACACATTTCAATATTAAAGTGATGTCAGTAAATATTTTACTGTATACAGTTAAATTGTATGCAAAGCAACACCTGCTTATGGCGAAGTCATATTTTCTTCGGCAAAGTTTTCCAAAAAATTAAAGATATACACAAAAGATACACATTATATAAGACATATTCTGAGGATGATGACAATGCTTAAAACAGTTTTAACATAAATAAAGAACACTCTCACCAAAAATTTAACAACTTTTATTACTGGCTTTTTACTGTCTCGTGTAAAGAAACAACATATTCACAATATTCTAACAATGTAATAAAAATTGACTATAACAGTCCATATTGCACATTTAGTTGCATCACAGTTTAAAATACAATGTATATCACTTTTCTGCTTTGTTTTCTATCAATAAAACTTTCAATTATTATCTTAAATATTTCAAAGAATTACTTTTTCAGATATATATATATATATATATATATATATATATATATATATATATATATATATATATATATATATATATATATATATATATATTTATATTTATATGTATATATCATATTATCTTTTAAAGAATTGAAATATTTTTACTCTGTAGCCCCTGATTCAAATTATTTTAAAGTATGCCATTAGCCACCCTCCCTCTGTTCACATTTTCATCAAACTTCACTTTCTTCATCATCCTGATGACTTGTGCGCTTTTTCCCTGAAGATTTTGAAACGGAATTTGAAGAGTTCATATGACTATGATTTTTGTCTGGTACAGGTGTTGACGATAGACATTTGACAAGGTCAACAATTTCACCTTGCATATTTCCAAGAGCATGTATAATGTTAAATAACGCCTTCTGATTTTCTGTCATTACACGTCTAAGAAATTCTATATCGTCAATAATGCGATTGTTTTCTTTACTATTTGCTTGAAGGTGTTGTAAACGAACGTCTAAGAGCTTCTGTGATCGTTGAATAGCATCTAACTGAGGGATCACAAGAGTTGTGGGAGAAGGAGCCACACTGCTTGATACTCTGCGCATGTTCGACCGACTGCACAGCTTCCGTTTGGATCCTATCCCTTGCCTGAGATCTGAATTAGTAAGAAAATTATTAACTATCATGAATAATTAAATTATTATGGTTCTATCATATTCATTTAATGTATCCATCTTTTTAAACATAGTTTTGTTTAAATCAGAGACAAATAAATGTCTTCGTAGATGAATGTTTCAAAACTAACGGCACTATAATTCTGCTATATGATGAAAACCGACTTTGAGCACTTGACATTTTGCATAAACGATGAAGCCAGGGACCTATTTAGTTCCCTAATGAATCTTCATGTTAGTGATCATCCGTACACACATCAAGTAATGGACACGTATTCTTATAGCTTGTACATGTATATACATTTTTACCGTACTGGTTCATACGTGATAAACATGCATACTTAACACAGAAACTATAGACGTTGCGCACGGTGTTGGTACACATTGACGTTACGTCAAAATAACGTAATTAAAGTCATAACGTTGTTACAAAGTTTTAAACGTTATAATTGCATATTTTAGTTGTTTAATGTGAATTTTATTTATTTTTTAAAATCTAAATAAAATTACAGGGCACAAACTTTTCAATTCTTGAATCTTCATTGAAAGTATTCAGATGTACACTAAAAATCTTATAATCTTATAAATAAATTGTAAGATTTTAAATATGATATTGCCACAGACATACATATCCCCATTCATATCCTTGATTCCTCTTTCTATTTCTTTTTTCTCACTTTGTACTCTCTGTCTTGCAAGGAGAAAACACATCAAGTAGCTTTCTCTTTCAACTGTCTCCCCTTCATTTTTTTCCAATACGTCATTTCAAGTTTTCTATTTCTATCAAGCCCCGCATGCGCCTTGGTTTTTGACACCCAAGATAAGAGAAAAGCATAGAAAATCGGTAGTCCTTTCATGCGCGGTTCCAGGATTTTTCAGAAGGGGGGTCCAACCAATTAAAAAAGAAATATGACTCTCAAAGTTTTTGACAAGCAAAAACAAAATAATAACTGAAAATCCTAGGGTGGAGGGGGTCCGGACCTTCCCCCCTTCCCGACCTCCCCCGCCTGCTTTTTTTAATGAAACCTTTTGAATTCTATCATTTGCTTTCTATATTTTTCTAAAATATGTTAGATTAGGTAATGTACTTAGCATTTACAACCTTTATTTTGCATAGGAATATATTTTTCTACGATAGAGAAAATGTGTCTTTCTGCGAGAAAAATGGATTTATGAAATCAAAACGTTTGGATGACGTCATTTTTATGACAACCGATGTACAAAGTAGGATTTCCCCATAATCAGCCCCCACCCCCACCCCCCCGGATCTATACTCAGGAGTGGGATCCTTCCCCCGAGGGGAAATCTTACACTAGAGCCTATTTTTCCCCCCTTTCTTTCACAGAGTAGGTTTTCCCCTGTTTTATCAATGCTTAAATCATACGCAGGTAGGTTAAGGCTTCCCGTAGAATATCACAGTGCACTCTGTGCCTTCACATCTCTGAACTACCAAAATATGACGTCATAATGGAAAATGACGTAAAGTCACTGCAAACTTGAGGTGTTATGACGGGGAGATTGTCATAAACTTTACACTTTATTTCAAACTGCATGTAAAATGCTAGATAGCTATTGCAAAATTCACGTGTCGATAAAGGTTTTTTAAGTCTTATATGTCAGAATATCTTAAAAATACACCGCTTACCTACCCTTGATTGAAATTCAGCATGTTCAAAATGATTATGAAAAATATACTTTTGAAATGTACTCTGTTTTATACCCGTGGTTGGAGGTAGAATTTATTTTGTGTGTATAAAAGAGTCTGGCGCAGGTGATTAATGAGGATTAATCTGAGAATTTTTGTGGATATCAGTAAGAAGAGGTTGTTCTCTAATTGAATCTTGCTTGGGAAAAATGTGTGTTGGATTTGTTTTAACACAGATTACGATATTGTGTGGAAAATACCCTCAAATTTGTAGGTAAGCTGAATTTCTCAGGAAATATTTTGTATCTAAGTAATGCTATGACTTTTCCCAAGCACATTTCGGATACACAAGGATACGACGAGTTTAATTACATAACAAAATGTTTATAATTATTGTGTTAATCAGCTGCGCCGAAGCAATTTATATGGAACACTTCAAAAAATTATAAATGACCGTCACGTGATCAACAAAGTCATGTGATATCATAACAAATATGTTAATGTATAGCCGAGGATACCCTCTATATAAATTGGGAGTACTTAAGTTCAATACTTATAAATTAAAACCAAAACCGACCTCGCAATGACATATGTTTTGAGCGCATTTTAAAGCTTCGGGAAGCCTTAACATAGCTGCGTATCGACATTATTAAAGTTTATATGAAAGTCAACTGACTTTTTAATAGAAATATTAGTGTTTTCGCTCAGGAATTGTTCAAATTTAGTATGAAATTTTAGTAGTTAAAAAAAGTACAATACAAGAAGCACTGCTCTTGCAAGCTGTAGGATAGGTATGACCCCTCGACCACAGAGGTGTAATACTCGATAGCTATTTTAAACTCCAGAAACTTGGAGAGACACTTAATCAATATTATGCACATGTAGTTTGATGAAATATAACTGGAGAAAAAAAAATTAAAAATAAAATTCCTCTTTTTTTAAATAAATTAAATGTTGACACAACTAGACTTTTTTTATTACAATTTTTGTGAAGTTTCATTAAGATTGTCTACTGCGAGAACGCCTGTGGAAAAATTGTAGAAGGGGCATTTGTCGCCCCCTTGCCCTCATATATACGTACTGGCATGATATTTTATAGGAGAAGGGGTAAATTGGTTCTTAAGGGAATCGCACTTTATAACTGTTACACAGAGTAAGGATTTCTAGGGCTGTATCAATATCATCAATATATTGATACGTAGCGATATTTAAGAATGTATCGTATTGAAAAAATAACTTCCAATACGTATCGGATAGGCAGATTTTCTTATAATGCTGTGAAAAAGTTAGGAATTTCAATCACTAAAGGTTATATTTTCAGTGTTTTGAATTAAAATTGATTAAAAATAATATAATCATGAAGGAGATAGCACATCTTAGATAAATATTACAAAATACATAAACTTTATTTTAACTTGTTGTTTTTACAGTCATTAAAAGCTTGAATTTGAAGTGTAATTTTTAGACATAGTGAGACAAAACTTTTGAAATGGGTTTTAAAACAATTAGTTTTTATAAAATTCATGCATAAGATGATTTATAAGACTTTTTTGATAGATTTGTTAAAGAGTCCAATATATCGGATATCGCATTATAAAATATCGTATCGTGTCGTATCGAATTTTTTTGCTCAATACACAGCCCTAGGGATTCCCCCGTAAAATTGAATCTGTTGTGGGATTTCTGAAGGGGAAATTCTACTCAAGAGCCAGTTTTCTGAAAAAGACTTTAGAGGGGAAAGACTGATAAATCAGGGCTCTAATTGGCGACTAATTTGGTCGCCATGGCGCCTTAAAATTTTGATTGGCGCCTAAAAAAAAATTTTGTAAGTCGCCAAATTGGCGACCATTTTAAATTGACTTGGTGATTGTCAAATTACTGAATTATTAACATTTTCAATTAAAAAAAAAAAAAAAAAAAAAAAAAAAAAAAAAGCAATGGGCATGCCTTTTTATATATTGACTAATGTCTGTTTTTAAATTAATGCTTACAAAAAATTACCTGGCGACTAAAAATTTGCATTGGCGACTAATTTTTTTGATAAGAAGCCAGTTGGCGAATAAATTTTAGAGATCACATGGAGGCCTGTACATGTATAAAGTTCATTGTTTTAATTTTGGGCTTTTGTACTGATATGTTTTTGTGAATCAGACGGTAGATTGGTTCTAGAATTATAGAAGGTCGCTAGACTGAAAAAAAAAATTAAATGGTCTTATATTGAATTGAACTTTTCTTGTTTTTTTTTTCAGCCCCAGTAGTTAAGCTCTCTTTACAAATCGGGGGTGGAGGGTATTGACATGCAAAAAAAGGAGGGATGGGGACGTTTCGCGACTAAAAACCCTACCAAATTGACAGAAAAAGAAACTGGCTTATAGCCAAATTCAGAAATCCTATTACTTTTTTTTTTTGGGGGGGGGGGTCCTCATTCTCTTTTTTTAGCAACAGAGAGAGAGAGAGAGAGAGAGAACAATAAAGTGATATGTTTAGATATTGCTGCAACAAAATAAAAAGGGGGTACCGGTGTTTGAATGAAAATTTTCAGAAAATTTAAAACGAAAGATTATTCTAAAATAATTGGAAAAGGACCTTCTACCCTTCTTGGTACTCCAGACCTGCAGAAAATTGGGGAAAAAAGATCACGGCGATAATAATTTGACGCTCCCGACGTGATTCGTATATATGTAGTGTGTAAAATGGCGTTTTTCGTATCTGTGACAAAATGGCTACATTTATATTGATGCTTGTATTTATTTCATGTAGATGATTACCGTAAAAATTATGTTATTATCTAATACAATATGAAATGTTCTTTCAAGATACAGTAATGATTGGTATATATATGGCATTAATTTAAGTATTTTTGATATGTAACTGAGACATCTAAGTTACAGTACAGCGACTCGTACGTGTATAACAAAATGGCTACACTTAACAAAGCCTTACTAATATCTACGTATTAGCAGTAATATGACATTTATCAACATAACTTATTTTAGAAACATATGTACTTAAGGATTATTCATCAAAATTTCCTTTTGTTTGGCATTTATGTCTAGTACACATCGCCATGTGGGCTAATGTCAACTTTAGGAAACGATTTTTTTCTGTTGAACATTTTACTTACGCACTGTAGAATCAGCCCAAACTCATGAAATTGAGAAAATGATATTAAAAATTCAACAATATCACAAAGTATGTATCCAAATTATTGTACTTCCTAAATTTCATTCAATTTAGAGGATTGGGAGTGAATCTTTACGACATCTAAAGAGTCAGAATTTATAGTACCAACACCGTGCGCAACGTCATAATTAATCAAGACATAGCTCAGAGATGGTTAGGAACATCTACCCTTTGTTAATTAGTGGTTTGGTTATTACTGACAAAATATTGCAAAATGTAAATATCGGTTTTAATCTTCAAATAACTCCTATGTTGCTTTTTATAATAACTTTATATATTACTTTTATTAATAGACTGCGTTTCATCTTCCTCTTCTTCGTTGATGGGTGTGGCGTAGGGAATCCTACTAGGAGCTTCCGGTACTGGTGGGGGTGTGTCATTTGTCTCCACGATTTCTACGTCCTCATTTCGTAAATTAGGCACTCCATCTTTTACTAAGTTAAACCATATGGTGTATTGTAATATACGATTTAAATGAGTACATTGTGTTAAGTATATATAAAGCCTCATCACAGTTTTTGCCAATTATTCCAATCATATCAGAATATATCCAATCATATCAGAATAATATTTTTTTCCTTCTAATATATTTTAATTTAAGTAAATAATAAGTAAAAATAGAGATGAATAAACAAACAACATTGCAGTTTCCCATATTTCTTATACATAACTGGTTCCTAGAGCTGAAGTGATGCAATAGAAATATTACGCGATTCATCTTCCTTTACATCTAGTGTCTTTAAATCAAATAGAATAACTTTAAGAGATAAATAAAGCTACAACCATTAACATAAAAACGTCTCACCAAGTTCTTTTTCATCTTTTGCACGCTCCATTTTAAATAGATATCGTTTGACCAATCTCTGCATTATGTCGCTGTAGGACGTATCTTCTACTTTAAGATCCAGTGTTTTACACACTCTTTCTCTCCTTTTCTGTGAAAACAACTCATTGAAAGCAAGATATTTCTTCTTCCATTGCTGGTAAAAACTCTTTTTTTTTTTTTTTTTTTTTTTTTTTTTTTTTTGCTTATTTTTTTTATTAAAGTAAATGAATATCCTCAACCATTGTATGAAAAATATACGCTATACATTTATTCTGAAGTGTTTTTATAGTAATAATCAATTATCATTTAAATATTAGAAATTCGACTAGAATCTACATTTATTTATACAAACCAGGTATTAATTTCAATTTGTCTAATTTTTTCATACTAGAAAAAAGAATAGGAGCAGCTTGACATGCACATTTCGTGGAGACAACACAAGACAGTTATTAACGTTGGTCAGTGGTGGCCTGTAGGGTAGGTGTTTACACGGCGCCACGTCCTCCCCAATGTAGCGCCTGTGAAACACCTTTCCAACAAATCCAACAATTTACTCATGTTTCTACCGTTATTTTAAATACAAGAGTCATGCAATGCTAACCGTTCATAACTATATGTAGACTATTTCACAGCATATAGACTATTTCACATCACAGGAATGTTTCTCGATTATTTTTATAAAATAAAATCAACATACACTATCACAATCATTATCACTAAAGGTATATAAAAAGCAACAATCACAATTTGAGATTTATTCACCTTAATAAATGTCTGCTTTTTCTTCGTCTGATATTCCAACCAAGATACATCAGATATTGCTAACAAGTCTTTACAGAACCTCCAGGCATAGCAGAGAGATTTGGGTGTAGGTATCATATTAAATGGCACTGGTAGGGTACTTCCCTCATCCATATAGTTCAGCCAAAGTTTGGTTCTGGCAAATTTCCATTCCACATCACAATCAGTCTTTAAGTACCAAAAACAGATTATATTGCCAATAAACACCTGTATGTGGTTTTCTTGAAAAAAATGATCAATTTCCATGAAACACAAAAACCTAATTCCAGATAATCCTGAGAACCTTTCAATACTTGTATTATTTAACTATCAATAGACAACAATTTATTATCACTTTTTAACCTAAACAACTTTGTAGTTTGTGAATTGAATCCTGGTTAACTCATAGTTTTTTTGTGTTCTCAGCCATAATTAACAATTCCAACTGATATACAATTAATGTTGATAATTACAGACCTGAATATCCTCAAATGAGTGGCTCATCATAGCAATTAACATGTTGATCAAAACAATGATGATGACAACATGATAAAGAGCGAAGAGGTACATCCCGACTTGTTCTACGATATCAGTGCTTCTCTCCATATTCACAGACTCCGGTGTTGGACCACCATACACTAAAACGTTCAAACTCTCAAAGTAGCGAATATCATCAATCATATATATGAAAATACTAGTAAATAGATAAAGAACAAGGTTCACTTAGGGCCTTTTTTGGCCCTGTGAATTTCTGAAAAACTGAAACTGCTTAGTTTTAGTTGACAATGCATAAAATTTCATTAAGACATTTGGCGATCGCGAATTTACCAAAAATGACGTAATTTTCTGGCTAGTCAATGCATTATGACGTCATGCAATGCGTCATTTTCCTCATATCCTGAACAATTCTACAAAAACAGACAAATTTTAAAGCTATTTTTCGATATTTTTCGATATTTAATATAGAGCACAATCTCTGATCTAAAATATGCAATTATTTACTGATAGAACCGTTTCTGAGGATTACAAAGCATGTTTTATTTTTTAGATCAGAGGGTGCGCTCATATTATGTTTCTTCTCTGAAAGTACTAAAATATACCTGTTTTCCTTAAAATTGAAGAACATTGCAATTCCATAAAGCTTGTTTTCCAAGACCTGGACTTTAAGGAGAAAGTCTTTACTTTATTTTGATGTTTAAAATGGAAAATAAGGTGCTAGTCAATAAATTGGTATATCTACAGGGCCATTTTACGCATAAAGTGAACCTAGCTCTTTGGATAACAGAATTTCAAACAATAATCTTTAACACATAATAACGCTTATCTGACGAAAAGAAACTCAAAAACATTTGATAAAAACCACTTTTTTTCCAATTTTCTGTTAATGAATTGTCAGACCACCATAAATTAAAAGAGAGAAAGAAATCGCGCTGCATCAGAACTACTTAAAGTGACACTGTGACGGACAAACGGGAAAATTGATAACAGTAGAATTTTTGCATGACACATGCAAATTTTTTTCAGTTCTTGAAGATATTAGGTTTCAGAAAATTACAGGTTTCAGAACCTAAAAAATCTAATTTAATGGAGAAAAATAAAAGTAAAAAAAATCTTTGTATAACCCATCACAAAAATATTGCTTCACTTCTTCCTTTTTATTGTACGCATGCGCTGAAAAGTTGAAGAATTTATCATGGTTTCAATTCCATGGATATAAAGGTCGGATGACTGAGAATTTTGATACAATCTTCAAAAAAGATGATCATATCTTATTCCTTACTTCTGCTTGCCCCAATTCAATGTTGATTACAAGTTTCACGCTAAAAATAAAGGACGCGTGACCTTGACATTGTTGACATTGACGATAAAAACAAATCGATAGATACAACATTTGTTTTTCAGGCACTTATATTTTGCAGTTTTTTTCTTGCTTTACAGTGCAGTTGAGTTGTCAAAACTTCACAGAAATCTTTTGTTTTGTGATACAATTTTCTTTTAAAAGAAACACATGATTTTGACTCATTATGCAACTTTAAGCGATGAATAGAATGATCTTAACTAGAGTGAAATGTGAAAAAAGAATACACTTAGATCAAAATCTTCTGACTTTAACGTCACAGCATTGAATTTCATCCATATTTTGGAAAGTTCTTTTAATGAAGTCAAATTTCCAGGAATTAAACCGCATTCAAATACACCACTATTGACTGAATCTGCCACTGCTCAGTTTAAAATCCTGAATTAAAAGGATGGACCAAAAGAAGAAATCCTGGAATTTTTTGGCTTATATGAGGTCACTTCATCGATTTCATCGGTACGACGACGTGATATAAGGCGTTTATTTATATATCATTTCATTAATATTGCGTCTTCGGAAATGAAGTTCATGCTACGCATGCTACGAAAAAAAATGAATTGTTAACACATAAATATGAAACAAAGTCAATATTTATATGTTTAAGGTTAATTTTCTAGAATTTCAAAGACCAGATGGACATTTCAGTGTCAGAATATAAACGTCCATTTTTTCAACATTACTGTACATTACTGTTGATCTACCATATTCAATGAGCAGATTCAACTGAATAAAAATAGGAATGTAGGAAATACTTTAATGACATATATTATTCGTGGGAGGGGGGAGGGTTAGTCCTTAAAATCTGGACAGTTTTCACTTTCAACTTGTTTTCGTTTGCTACCCAAAGTCTTTAAAAGTAAATGATAACAATTCCGATAGATTGTCTCCAAAAACTACATAGATAATATAAATCAGAAACCCAATCATCTTTTTACTGTAAACTTCAGAGTACGTGTGTGTATAATGTGAAGTAATGGTAATGTAATGCATTACTTTACAATGTAATTTGCCCCAAGCCTGTCTCCTACTTATGGGGTTTATGTCTCTCAGTTGATTCGATACGCAAGAACATACTCTACATACGAACAATTTCTAAAACGAGGCAAGCTATTGACAATATATTTATACTTTTATGATATATTCGAGCAAATGTATGTGCTTTATTATTTTCTGATGATGATTTTGATTAATACAAAACAATGAAACGATCTGCTGTGGCGTAAGGATGGATATGAGGGTTTTTACCTTCCATTGATGTACGTGGCAAAGAGTAATGTATCTCAACTCTGTTAAGGGAAACATAGATACTAGAATTAAATTTTTAAGAATTCAAATTGATTTGTTTGAAAGGAAAAACCTCTTCTTAAGATATCAAGAATAGGACTGAATTCTTTAAGTTAAGGTATGTCACTCGTGAAATTAGTTATATCAAGGATTTTCTGAGAAGTATATTTTAGATAAGTACTCATATAGCGTGATTCAAAATCGCAAAGAAAATTAGTGGTCAGTGTGCATCTTACTGAGCAACGGTACAACTAATTTGACCTTTTTGCACTTAAATTGTAATTCTTATGTTAATTACTTTAATCTTTGTCATACTTTATCGGATGTAACATTGGCAATAAATATAATCTTTTTTTTACGTAAAATAATTTGAATAATATGCATCATTGAACAAATCATGCAAATTAATGCGTATAATGCATTGTGTGACCTTTTTTGCACTAAAAAAGTATCATATTTGGGGTATTAAAAATCTAAATGGGCAATAAAATATTTTCGTCTATCAAACTTTTATGACTTTAGTGCTGATTGGTTGGAAGTACCGTGTAGTTTAAAATGATGAAAGAAAAAGTTGGGGTCAGTGATGTAAATTTTGCGATACTGGTCAAAATATGCGATTTTCGGGCAAAAAAAACTGTGTAAATTTTATCTTGACTTCTTTAATGAAATGTATGGAGATAACAAGCAGTATTCAAGCTCAAAAGTCCATTAAACATTACAAAATAGGAGCAGAGCAAACACGGACCTCCAAAACATCAGAGGTGGGATCACGTTCCATGGAGAAGTGAGCATCCCCTGCCGACCGGTCACACCCGCCGTGTTCTCTTTGTGATGATCGGGAAATAACGGAAATATCCGTCGACAATTCAGTGTGTAAATAATGACCTAACAATTAGTATGAAAAACGTCAGTCAGCATTTGAATCAATGATAAATTGTATTTGTTGACAAGGTCATTGTATCGACCAAATATATTTCCATTTCTAGGCAAAGTCTGATGAGTGAATGTGTAAAATGTGTTCTAAAATATACATTGAAATCTATATTTAATATTCCTGACATATAATAACGGAAAACATGCTCTGAGTAAAAATATGTCGGGCTAAAGTTCCAAGATATTAATTGTAACAAATGTGTCGGTTTGAAGGATTTTCATCTAAATATCCTTCCACCACAAAAAATAGTCCCTCATAAACGTTTTTTTATGACTTTGTGAGCAGTTTTTAAATTGTATATTGTATAATTGTAGTGTTTAATTCAATTATGTTATAAAAATTGAATTGTAATGAAGTTTTGAAGTTAGAGGTTCTGACCAAACTTTTCTTAAAAGCTGACGAGTTACATACCTTAACATCAAAGCAAAGTATAGTAAAAGAAATAGGGGAAAAAATATCAATTCGACATATCATCTTTATGATGCATGTATCTGCATATGAAGTATCAACAGCGTATTTTAGTTAATAAGGTGGGATTTCAAAGCGACAAATGATCAGCAAGAAAATGTTCCTTTATGTTACGAAGTTAACCTTCGGATGAGACCGTACAAACCGAAGTCCCATGTTGCAGTAGGTGCTGGTACGAAAAAAAAAAAAACCTCACTGCTCAATCGCCTCGAGTGTCGAGTATAGGTCAAAATTTGCAGCTCTCCACCGGTAAATGGTGGCGTCTCCATATGAATGAAAATTTTTCGAGAGGGACGTTAAACAATAAACAGACAAACAAAACAAACGAAGTTTACCACTTAAACCTTCATAATATTTTACCAAATTAATGTTATCATGGCAATAAACATAATCTTATCTTTTTTCCGTTTTTCCCGATTATGACAAGGAACACACAGCGGGTGTGACCGGTTGGCAGGGAATGCTCACTGCTCCATGGCACCTGATCCCACCTCTGATTTTTTTGGAGGTCTGTGTTTGCTCTGCTCCCAATTAATATTGTTTTAATGGACTTTGAGCTTGAATACTGTTTGTAATCTCCATATTTCACTTATGTAAAATACTTTGAATGAAATATATGGAGATAACGAACAGTATTCAAGCTCAAAAGTCCATTAAACATTGAATAATATTTATTACTTTAAAAATTCCATCTTAATGCGCGTTAATTATTGTGTGACATTTTTTCACTTAAAAAAATATATTTGGGGTATTAAAAATCTAAACCCGCCAATAAAACCTAGCTTTTCTTGTATTAAGCTTTTAATGACTTTAGTGCTGATTGGTTGAGGGTATTGTGTAGTTTAAAATAATGAAAGAAAAAGTTGGGGTCAGTGATGAAAATTTTCAGGTAATTTTTAAGGAAAATGTAAATATTATCTTGACTTCTTTTGTGGACAAGGTTTGTTAAGTGAATGTGTAAAATTTCTTCCATAAATATTAATTGAAATATATATTTCATATCCCTAACATACAATAACGAAAACAATTCTCTGAGTAAAAAATATGTAGGGCTAAAGTTCCAAGATATCAAATGATTTGAAAAATTTTCTTCT